TGGTGAACATTACTCCAATTATGCTTAACAATTTGACTATAAGTGTGACTAGGATTTGATTATTCAACCACATATCACCTCAAATATAGCACTATTGTTCAACATGTGCAAAACATTAAAAGTCCGAAAAGATGTTCTCTAAACTATGCTATGGGATATGCTATAATACTGTATAAGCCACAAATGCCATAGACACAATATGTGACTACTTCTAATAGTAAAAGTGCATACCGGAGCCTGTCTGTGACCTGATCAGGGTGTCCTTGCCATTCAGTAAATGTGGAATACTCTGGGCCTGCACAGATGTCAGCTTTGTCAACTTCATCTCCTTCTCAAGGTGAGATACCTGCATAATACATTAAAGCAGAAATAAGCCACACTAGTCAATATATTGAATAAGTATATATATTAAACGTTCTTTGCATGAATAATCTCCAAATATTACCTATGCATTAATTGGCCAATCAATATATTAAGTAGATTTGTGAATGAACAGGAATAGTTTAAAAAAAATTGAAAATTCAAGATTCTGAAATAATATATTATGAAAATGTTCATACTCCAATCTATAATGAGGCAATATAAGCACATTATACGTAGCTGTGCATACATATATACACATATTATAGATACTTGTATGGAATTTAATCAATGGATGTAATCAATGGATAAAATCTCACCAAAAATGGATGAAGTCCTAAATTGTGGAAAGAGTCAGATGAGAAGACAGCTTCAACATTTTTGTTTACAGCTGTTCTACAAACAAGAGACAAGAGATCAGTGGTGAATTTACATAAAGACAAGAGCTGCAGAGCGTCTGGGCTCATCTGAGGTCTGTTGCTACGGTTATAAACGTAACATTTAAGTTGTGCGTAGTGACACCTTTGTTAGGCGCAGATATGCAGATACGCAGTTGCGTACACATCATTTCAGCAACCTTCTGCATTCTGCATAACTCCCAAATCCCATTGGTTGATACAAATCGCGTGCCTGAAACTAATGTTTTATGGTGCATTGTGATCCTAACCCTATTAAAACAAAAACAAAACAAGGTAGGCCAGTGATTAGTGGACCGAATAGGCTCAACTTAACATACACATTTGCGTCTATATTGGTGCCAAAATTTGATGAGAAAATTAAGTCTGGGAAATCCACAGCCTCACTCCTGGGTAATTATTTGAGTGCTAGTGACTATTCCAACTATTCATAATGTACACTACAGAATCTCATATATAACTCATCTCATTATTAGCATGCCTATACATGGTGAGACATAGAGAGGGCTGCGATTCTATTCGCTGGGGCGCATTTTCCGCCATTCCGCGTCATGTCGATGCGTTGCGTGGCGCCATGTTAGCGATAAAAGCCTATACTTTTACACGCTTCCTACCATGCTCGCAACATATGTATAAAAATTTGCCGAATTTTAGGCTCGAAATTACTTACCTGATGACGTTTATGAGTAGAGACAGGAGATGGTTGCAAAGCGCAAGGCGCGAGCGTGATGGGAAGATGTGCGAGAGGAGTTATAATGACTGCAAACACTGCCATTTTATTGGCTATAATGTTATAGCACGGCGATTTCCTGACTGCCTTTACTCTTTAAACATTGTTGTTTCGCCTTTTTTTATGTGCTATGGTGAACAATAGCCCATAAGGTGAGACAAAAGCCAAACTCAAGTATCGGCAGCAGCGCTCTATAATAGACATCCTCATGGGCCAATCAATGGTTCACAGCAGAACATGGACAGCATGTCTAACAATCGATTATTAACTTTCGACTGATATGATTTTGCTACGTATAATGTGCTTTACACCCACCATCAAGTTGAGCGATGCTGTGTACTGGTGACGTCATTATTCTGTATTACGACATAATATGCATTGTCCAATCAATCGGGTGGCTATGTATACCCGACATTGCATGCCAGTCACATATACCTGCTTTGCCGCGAGACTTACGACAAACGCGTATAAGTCAATTTTATTACTATTCGTCCAATAGGGCTCCTCGGCTTTGCAGTTCAAACACATGCACGCGAACAGAAAGCTTTTGTAGTTTATACATAGTACAAGAATCAAGCGTTTATCACACACTTTTAGATAAGCTAAAAACGTCCAAGAGTTTATATATATATAATATATATATATTTATATATCTATATTATAAGAAAGGAGAGGCCGATTTTCTGACGCAGTAACCTTTGCCGCGGTGAGCATCAAGAGCCACCGATCTCAGTGTATAGCCCGTGTGTCAAACACCAACATAGGCTTATCCATATTTGTTAAATCCACCCATATTTACCTCCGCGCAACGGAGTTTCAGGGAGGTAATGTGATGCCTCTCGTGTGATGTGTTCGTGTGTGTGTGTAGCCAGCGAGCCAGCAGCGATCGATTCAGCACCAGCTCGCCTTAGGGCGTCGAGTCAGCAGCAGCTCGCTCACTTGCGCGCAACAATCAATATTTCAGCGATTCTACTACTACAAGCTAGAACTACTAGAAACTGCAACTAAAACTGAAACTAGAGTCAGCGAGCGGGCGGCGCGATCGATAGCGCGGCGAGTCAGCAGCAGCCACCAGTGAGCAGCGAGGCAGCAGCAGGCGAGTCAGTCAGCAGCCGCCACCAGCGAGCACATACATGTTACATGCTCGCGGAGGTATGCACTCTCCGTCAGTGCCCTCTGTCTAGTTGTAGATATAATGACGATAAATAGGCCTTAATACGGGTGATAATTTTAGCAGTGGGAACTGATGTCAGAAAAGTAGAACAGCCGAATTCCCGCGAATGTAGCCATCTAGCGGACAAAAGTCCAAACTTTGTTAATACCAGGTTTTAAACTATGCCAAATTTATACATTTTTTTTATTATGCACTCAGTTGCCAGTCGAGTCTCAAAAGCAGCACAACACACACGTTTAGTGGTTCATTCTCGTTAATTTGTATTTTTTAAATTGTAATTTGACTGTGTATACATTCGGATATAATGTAAAACATGTTATAAAGAATTAAGTTTGTTAAAATCAGGTGCTATTCATTTTTTTGAGAATGTCATTCAACTGGACCTCATTGGTGCAGAACTCTGCCAAATTAACCAACTAATTTGGTTAAAATGAGGTGATATCCTTACGTTTGGAGAAATATTTACTTTCTTAAATTTGCTCATTATTTTACAATGAAAGTGGCCCTGAACTGATACCATGCTATATTGACGGGTTTAGTTTATTTACCTATGTATTTAGTTTAATTTAGTTTTCATGTATTATTTTGATGTAAAGCGAATCCCAATGATAAGAGAGACACGTGACAGATGTCGCCAATTGTGTATTTAAAAGGTGAGACAAGGCTTGCAAAGCCAGAGAGGCATATTCATAATAACTTGGCACAATTTCATAACAATGTTGTATATCCAGAAGCTTTGACTAAACAGAATCATAGAATCGTTCGAACTGTTTTTGTCAGAATATTGCCTAATTATTGTTTGTTTCTCTGTTTGAGTCCCGTAGATTGAGTCCGTGTAGCTGGATAGTGTTTGGATTGTGAATCCAGTACGCTTCTCTTTCCTTTCTGATGGGGATCGTATGAGTGAAGGGGGGGGGGTGAAAATATTTTAGAATTCCGAAAGTACATGTGGCTGAATTTGCTCTTAAAAGTTGTTCCTAAGCGTTTTCCCCGTGCAACGCCAGGTACCAGGCTAGTATTTATATATACATATACATATATAACTTCGCAATGGAGCAGAAAGCGGTGTTTCGTATTCATATGATAGCTTTATGAGCGTAATAAGCAATATATTTACATGTAAGACTTCAAGTATAAGGTAGGCCTAAGCATTAAAGTTTTTAATATTTAAGCAACATTGTAGTTTTTAAATGTTGTCCAGAATACAAAAGTATTCACTGATCATGTGAAATTTATATCAGCCTTAGGTCAACTACCCAGCTAAGATTTCCTGTTAGTCTAGCTTTAAAGAAACCTGTCAAGAAGTTCAGTGTCGTTAATCAGGAATTCAATATCCTTTGTAGCATGTGTTAATTTTAATTCCCAATTGTTTAGATTTCATATACGTTGCCGAAAATCCACAGAAACAACAGTAGACGTTCATACTGCGCCAGCTAAACCTCCTATGAGGAAAATTGAATTCCTAACACCAAAACAACTCAAATCTTCTTATTGTGCCGACAAAGAACAATTAAGCCTCTACAAACCAATTACCAAGATAAGACTCCTGTATCGCAGAATTTCACGTATTTCAGTACTTAATCTCAACCGAATAATGCCCTGGTTGCATCTGAAACAATAATATCTGCGTGCAGATCTCTCTACGTATAGGAGCTGTCCATGGGACCTCGACGAAAGCAGCAAATCTGAACTGATTTAGAGTTTATTGACGAATTTTCACACACTAAGCCTATTGACTTTTGCCCACACAGCCACACAAAGACATTGCTAACAAGCAGAGAGCATCTGCGAACTCTAACTAGCCGCGCTGCGGAAAAATCACAGCAAAAAGCATGACCGGCATAATTAATTCTCCATGAGAAGATTATGTGCCACACTTTCGACAGTCGGAAACTCGGAAAGTAGACTTATTTGTCATGCTTACTTTGAAAACATAATGGAGATAGGCATGTGCTCTGGCATTAATTTTCAGAGGACATCATCTGTACATACACTGCTGCACAGTTTTCCAAAATACAGGTTGTGAAAAAATATCTGTGAAAATAGCAGCATAATTTCACTATCTGTAAAACAATTTGGGCCATGAAACATGTAGTGATATCATATTCATGTTCCAAAATCTTAACTAAACAACACAATTTAATAGGTAACAGTAAATAATTACAGAGAACTTCACAACAGTTGATTTATCCATCTGAATGCGATAACCATATATACTACTAGAGTTGTGTAACGCAACTACTAGAGTTGTATTTTTCATGCAAGGTGGATAGGTCAATTGCTTAATTGTAATAATTTGTGATAAATGGTTTGTTGTTACCTTGCTTTTTCACTTTTTTTCTTCTCTCCACCCATTACTGCTCCTGGGACCAGCCACAAGAATGGCTAAAACAATGTATAAAAATAATAAATATGTAAAAATATTATCAGTCACAATATATATATATTATATAGTAATAGTATATAGTATATATAGTATATATATATATATACGATGATAGTGTGATACTGGCCGTATTTGATACTATTTTGCGGGAAAAAAGCTCTAACCCAAACCGACTACCATTAATTAGGGGTATTTATCGAAATTATGCAGATTATGAATTCATAGGCACAGATCAACATCTGGCTACCAGATGGAAAGCTTTATTCTTTCCGTACTGCACCTCATATTTAGGGTGTATTAATCAGCCAACAAACTGATGTTAATCGGCATTTTATAGCTCTCAAGGACCTGGAACACGTTCGTATACGGACGAGTCACACCCGAGGCTATGGACGCATATATATAGCAGCAGGTGCAACATCGGATCTAGTGGCCGACACTCTATGGGGTGTCCTTCATCGCGACCCTAATCCGGACTGATGTTGCATCGGTGACGGCACACCGATACACTGAGGTTCCAATTATCGACCATCACACATCATCACACATTGGACGATGACGAAACATATCATGAAATGGCCCCACGCTACAAAAAAAAATCCATAAAAATAACCTATGAGGTCAATAACTAGGGTTGATGACGACTAGCTCCTACCCCCTCTACCCCGTCACTGTCAGGTCGAGTTTATTCAATGCTCAAACCGATTTGAATTTTCTTGATTTAGCATGACGAAACCCCAATCTGTTACACGATATCAAGATCCTACAATACCATCCTACACTACATTTAAATGAACTGCTATTTTATAGAATTCAGGCAGCCCTCACTTTTGTTATTAACATAAAATCATACATACATCATACTATCACTAATAATAATAATAATAATAAAAATAACAATAAT